CAAATGAGCCAGGAGTCATCTAGATTTTGGAAGATATACATATGTGTTGGTTTAGTTTTGGAAGTCTGATTTTTCACATTATACTGGGTTTTAAAATATACATTCCCCACTAGTTTATTTAGAAAAAGGATCATCTATTATTTACAGACCACTTACTATAGTAAATGGTGCTATAGGCCACATACTATAGCAATAGGCACAAATAAAACTTTAAGACCTCAATATTATCTTAATATGAAATGCCGTGGTACCTTGGTTCTCGAATTTAATCTGTTCTGGGAGTCCATTCGACTCCCGAAACGGTTCAAAAACCAAAGCACAGCTTCCGATTGGCTGCAGGAGCTTCCTGCACTCAATCGGAAGTTGTGGAAGCCACGTTGGACATTCGGCTTCTGAAAAATATTTGCAAACCGGAACACTCACTTCCGGGTTTGTGGCATTCGGGAGCAGATTTGTTTGAGAGCCAAGCTGTTCGACTACCAACCTGTACTAACCTTTCTAGGTTTCAGATGTAGGTACAAAATTTCCACTGAAGACTAAAGATTCTCCTTCATTTGATAGGTTATTCAGCCTAACAAATGTCACCGTTACAAAATGCTGTATCAGCAATACTGTAAACCTTTACCTTTGAGTTAAATGACAATATAAGTAGACATGAATAGGATAGATAAACATGGAATTACCCTTCTAGAAAAAAACAAACAAAAAAAGAAAAAAACAAAACCCATGTGGCATAAAATGACTTAGAAATGCACTGAATTTTGGCATGGGTGTATTTTCTACCCCAGCTAATGTTAGCAGTCTGGGTTAGTAAAAACAACAACAAACAAACAACAAACTATCGCTTTTTCACAGAAAAACAGTCAGAGACAGGCCACCAAAGAGCACTGGAGTCAAATAATACAAATGATCATGTTTCTCTTGAGAAGCATGCTTACTTGCTACAGCCAAATATAAAGCCTGGTTAAGGAATCAAGGTTTTGTTGTTGTTGTTTGAAAATAAGTTTCATTTTCTATTTTAGATACAAAAGAAAAATCTCAGCTTCCTCTGAAACATACCACTAGCAAAAAGTAAACAAAATCTTACTGGAAGCCCTTTATAAATTGCTTCTGATACAAACCAGTGACAGTTGTAATCTGCTATTAAAACAAGCCAATAATAGTAGACTGCTTCTTAGCATTCCAAGCCAGAAAAGTGGGGGCAGATAGAAAACAGCATTTGTATGAGACACATCTCTTCTTTCCCACTGCATCTTTATAAAACCATGCAGAGAAAGTATCCATACATTCTTCTCTTGTTTTCCCCTCCATCCAATAGCTAGCATTAGTATTAGAATTAATGTCCTGTGTAATGGAACTATTCAACCTTTTCTTAAATTTAGCCTGTGTCTGACCTGTCATGTCTGATGAAAAAATATATCAACATTACCTTAAAATTCCAAAAGGAACATTTTCCTCTTTCTAAACTGCTGTTTAGCATCCTTCTAACTTACTGCACACACATGGAGCAGATTCGTTTTCTGTTGCTTCAGCAGCTAAGACCTGTACCAAGAGGTTCATATTACAAGAGAGGGGATTTCAGCTCAACATTAGGAAGAGCTTCCTGTCAGTAGAATGTTCAGGAGTGGAAAAGACTGCTGCAGAAGGTGTTGAACTCACCTTCATTAGAGTTTTTTTAAGCCATAGGAATGATTGTCACCTATTAGGGATGCTTTAGCAGTGGAACTGGACTTTTGAGTCCCTTCCAACTCAATGATTCTACAATCGAATAGCCCTTTGCTTGGTAAGCAATTTCTCTTTAATTGAGACAATAAAGAAGTTTATTGGAAACTTCTTATATGATTATGATTTATTAATTTATATACCATTTCATACCAAAATAGTCTTCTAAGTAGTTTACAAAAAAACTGAAATAAACAATTGCACAAGTATTAAAATATAAACATCCATAATTAAGATTGCTGTACCATGTATAGATCTAAAACATGGGAATGGGTTAAATTTCTGAGCAGCTCACAGTCATGACTAGTGATGGGAACTACAATTTCCAGAGTGCAATATAAGGCACAATAAGCTTGCATATGCTAATGTAAGCCAGAAGAGAACTTCTGAAAGCAGATGACTGGTTTCCTCTAAATATTCAATGAAGTAAATAATGTAAACACCAAGCCAATTCCATACCGAGCCAAATTACAGCAAAGAAACCTATGTAACTGCAGTGGAGCAAATTTCTGTTTGTGCCACTACAGTAACCAAATCAATACAGCCAGACTGTAAAGACGCACTGCTAAAAACTGATGCAACACCTGTGTAAACATGCCTCACTTCAAAACTTGTCTTGCTTCCTGTGTTCTACATCCTTTGTTATTGAAAACATAACTCATTCAAAAATGTATCCTCTTCAGTTTCATTATATGAATGAGCTGGAGATTTTTCTATGTTAGTATATTTACCAATACACCTGCTTGCCCATATTTGTCTGCAATTTGTTTTAAACTGTTTTTAATGCTGGATGTCATATTGTTGTAACCCTGGGACCTTATGGCAAAGGGTGGCTATACAGATGATGATGATTTTTAGTCACTTAAAAATTATTTAAGGGCACCTATGCTATCAATTTTGTTTCCAAATCCCTACAACATTTCAATGTTCAGACTACAATGCTTTAATACCTGAGGAAATACATTGAAATTTTCAGGAGGAAACCTTTTCTGTGAGGGTTTTTTCTTGCATTTTCAAAAGCTATTAAATGTGGTTGCTGAAGAGTTGTAACCCACCCTGGGACCTTAGCGTGAAGGTGATAAATAAAATAATTACTACTACTACTACTACTACTACTACAATGTATTCGATTCTGCTTCAGAAACAGATGCATTGCTTATAAATGGAAGAGAGGGGAAATACTGCCTTGAAAACTTCCCCATTTTATCTACGAAGTTCTAATGTTATAGATTGTACATCTGTACAATACTATTTGTGTAATACACAGTGCATTAAGTCACAGTCCCAAGTGTGGTTGTGGTTTAAAAGCATGAAACCAAAAAATACCAAATAGTCAACGGAACAAGCATTTTGATACTTTCTTTACAAAATTAGGCAAACAGGATTCTTGGACTGTCCTCTTAGCAATAATTGCATGTGTCAAAGCAAACAGAAAACACTTGCAGACATTTGTTTTTTAAAGAACTAAAACAACTTTAAGACAGACTCAGTAGGAATATATAATCTCTTAATAGATTATGCAACAGAAGGACAATTAAGACTGCAGTTGTTCCTCCTTTTCCTTCACATAGAGAGCAATTCCTTTTGACAGACCCTATAACTCTTTAACAGAGAATGTTTTGATTATCACATCAACTTTTTTTTCAATGTTGTTTCTGGATTTACTCAGTGGGAAAATGTGGTCAACTAGGGAAATTCTATGCCCCATGAGATTTTGGTTAAGCTGGAACATAAATCTCCTGTCTTATGTTGTTTGTTTCCCATGACAAAGCTAGGGTTTTGGAAATAATGAGACTTAGCCATTTCTTTCAAAAGGGGAAATTCACAGGGAGTTCACCATGAAATTGATTTAGCAGCATGGGATTCAAAACGATAGTAGTTCTTGGTTTATTGCACACATTTTTCATTTAGGCAGTAAATAGTTAGCACTACTGAAACCAAACGGGATATAAGTGTGAGTAACTGTGTGCTTATAGCTTTACAGTCTACCCTACATTTGATTGAAAATGTGTTCACTAAATTTGAGGTACATTTAGGATTAAGGCCATACAGGCGAATCCTCTATTTGTTTTTTCAGAAGTATGCTCCACAGAAGTCAACAGAACGTTTGTTTTTTTCAGAGACGGAGGTATTAACAAACCTTTTATTCACTTCATAATCCACTGAACTCATGAATTCCTCCACATTTTCATGTCACCAGGAGGCTTCCAATAAAGATTTATGTGACATTTAGCCATCTATTATGAAGCCAAGGTGCAAGTGATGGTAATTATACATGCATCAGGGAGTACTTCTACAAAGATTGCATGAGAAATTATACAGCATGCTAGCTATCTCAAGAATTTTGTTGTGATTGGATACATCTCATTTCCATAACATGTTTAGTGTTGTTGATTTTTTAACGTGTGATTTATCTAGTTCCAGGTCCAAGTATTTTCAAAGCTTACCAACAAACTTGGCACACATATAGTAGTCTTCTTATAATTTCATTCAGATCATATAATTTGTGACAGTGTGTGATCTAAGGAATTCTATTTATTTTGAAATTACATGTAATCATTCTTTTGTATAAAGTTGCAAGCAGAAATTGTCATATTTTTGTGGGTTCAACAAAAAGTGTTTCATTCCCAAGTATCTATTGGCAAGAGCTGCAAGAAAGAGATTTGCCACAGTGAGAATGCAAGTCAAATTCATAAAAAATTCCCCTAACGTCTTGTAACCCACCTTGAGAATGTTGGATGCAATACTCAACTAGACCCATCAAAATTAATAAAACTAACAGTCATGTTCATTAATTTCGGTGGATCTTCTCTGAGTAAAGCCAATTGACAACCTTGCTTACAGTGGCGTAGCGTGGGTTGTCAGCACCCGGGGCAAGGCAAGTAATTTGCGCCCCCTAACCCGTGAGTGAGCCAGGTAGGGGCAGAGAGCTGCAAATGCAAGCGCCCCCCCATGTTGCGCCCGGCCCCCCCGCACCCCCCACGCTATGCCACTGCTTGCTTAGCACTTTATAAATACTCCAAAAATGTAAAACAAAAAATCTGCTTCATGTCTTTTTTTATAATTATAGGTAATCCATGGTCATGATATATGGAAATCCTCTCACCTGGTTGCACAACTTACATTAAGATTTATCTGTGAATTGTTATAACCTGCCCTTCCTCTATATAGATACAAGAATGAGATACAGCATATAAAAATACACAATAGAATCATAGAATTGAAAGGGACCCTGGGGATCATCTAGTCCAACCCCCTGCAATGGAGGAATATGCAGCTGTCCCATACAGGGATCAAACCTGTATCCTTGGTGCTATCAGCACCATGCTCTAACCAACTGAGGTATCATACTATAATAAAACCATAAAATTCATTTTAACCAATAGGAGCAGCTGAAAACACAGGATAGGCTAACCCAAATGCCAATTAACTAACCACTGAGAACACCTGGGCAAAACAAGTATGTCTTAACTTGATAAAAATATCAATATTATCCACAGTTTTGAGGCGGGGACAGTCCACAAGCAGGGTGCCAGTGTAGAGAAAGCTTTCTCTTGTGACACAACAAAGCGCAGCTCACCCAATGATGGATCATGGAGAAGAAACTCGTTCTACAAACGTAAGGCACAGGCAGGATGATAGACGGAATCCTTTGGATATCTGAGTCCCATGACATTGTGTCATGTTCTTTTACACTGTAGCCTGCATTCAACAGATATTCCTCATCTGTTAAGGTCATCTGATGACCTAAACAGGCCATATGGATCTCAGGGCACTGCATTACTCAAAGAGTCAGTGATTACAGAACAGAAGGTACTTCAAGCCATATTGGATAATTACACCTAGCAATTGCCACCTAACAGTAGCACCATACACATACTGCCACTGTGCAATGGGATGGAGAGTATATATCGTATGATCCAAAAAAAGGTAAGTACTCATTCAGTTATAAATTCTGCTTCTTCTGCAGTCAAGTCCTTCACCCACACTGTAAAAAGGACAAATCCTCACCTCATTTAATCAGGGCAGATTCTGGGGCAGCAGTCAAGGCTAGACAAAGCTCAGAGTTTAACATATAGATAATTCTGTCATCTGAGGGCAGTCAGGTTTTGTCATGCTATTTGGTTGTTTGGGCAGATGAGGCTTAGCATTTTGTTCCATTTGATTTAGCAAAAGACTGACAGAATAGTCTTTTGGTGTAATCAAGAGAGGACTAAGTATCAGCGGTGACAGCTATGGGTCAGGGATGTAAAACCGCATCTTGATTTATATTGCAGGGTTTAAATCTTAAATGGTGGGGAAGATTTCTCTAACAATGACAACAATACATTATGATTCTGCACGCAAGGGCATGGGGGTATTTCTGGAAGTGTTATTCAATCAGTATCTCCAAGCAGGCATCCGTCAAAAAGTGGCAGCCTTAAATCAAAGAGAATGAAGTTTAAAAATAGGACTCAAACATGCTCAAATTTCATCCTGATGCTATCACAGGTTCCCTTTATTTAAAGGTATTTAACTTTATCTGGAGTAACACAATAGAATAGCCAGCAGCAGAAGTCAAGAAGTTAGAACTGTCCCCCCCAACACACACACACCCCGCAGATAATGTTCTTGCTAATCACTTAAGTTTGGCTAGTTTTGTCAGGTGAAATTCCTTTTCAAAAACGAGTCTTCATTAAAAAAATAATAATCAAAGGGCTCAAAGTTATTATTGCCTTCTTAGCTGATTTGGCTGCTTTGCTTTTTTTGCTCTCATACTGTAGATGGGAAAAAATAACTTCCAAAGCCAGAAAGATTCCATATTGATTAGGTTCCTTCCAGAAGGATAGGATTTTGAAGTGTTAAAAGGCAACTGTATGAAACTCCCCCCAAACACACATGCAACTGAATCTTAATTTACCCAGGTGCATTTTGAAGCCATAAATACCCTGGATCATCTTTGAAAAGCCACAGAAATTCAGGTAACTAATCAAATTCAGAGAAAGAAAACTGAAAATAGTTCCAAGCTGTGACATAAAGCTGATAAGTATGTGAAATAATTTGGTACATTGTTGGTGTGAATGGTGTCATGTGCAAAAGTAACTTGAGCAATCCTGTTCAAATCCACAAATCAAGTCAAGTGGTAGACAGAAAAATGTCCATGCTAAGAGGGAAAGATCTCAGGCTTGCCAAAGGCTCTACTCAACTCCAACTCCTCCTTATGAACTTGCCAAGTCCTAAGACCTGATAAAGATTCCACTCAAGATTTAATTTTAATTAAGAAAGCCTCCTCTTTCAACAAAACACCAGACACCACTGTTTCTCAAAGCTGGAGCCAGCAGCTGTGGATTCTCCTGTGTCTAGAATTTAGGATTCTTGAATTAATTTCTAATGTCACTGCAAGTCAGGGATAAAAAGAACAGTTCCTCTATCCAACTTTAAAATCAAAAAATGTATCCTGTCCTTTCTTTTAGATAGCTGGGTGAAATTGTTGCAAATTCCAATCTGCAATAAGCATTTGCCCCTGGGGAAGCACAAAGAAGCATACAAAAATCTTATTATTTACCTGGCACACCTAGCACAGATGTTCAAGGTGACCTTGGCTTGTGGTTCAGCTGTATGTGTACTTCGGGTTTGGTTAAATTTGCTCCCAGAAGAAATGACACTGGTTACCCCTTCCATTCTTAAATCATCAAGATCCTCTGCAAATTAAAAAAAGAAGCAAGTATATCACTAAGTAAATATTTGCAGCAACATATTTGTTTTAGAAACATATAAATTGCAGCTTCAGCCGTGAAGCTTACTGGGTGACCTTGGGCCAGTCACTTTCTCTCTGTACCAAAAACCTCACAGGGTTGTTGCAAGGATAAAATGTAGGAGTAACCATGCACACTGCCTTGAGATCTTTCCAGAGAAGGTGAGAGGAAAAGGTAATAAAGTAAAAATAAATTTTATTTTTATTTTTAAAGAATATTTATTCCAATTTTAAGATTACAGAAAAAGAAAAAGCAAAAAAGAAAAACAAATCACATACATCCTACAAAAAAACAACAACACACGGTACAAAAAAATACAAAAGACAAAAATCACAATACAAAAGTAACAAAAATCAAATTAAACCATTAGAACCGTTTTCCCATTTACTTATTTCCGTGACTTCCTCTCACTTCTCTGCTTTGTATACTAATTTGAATCGTATCTCCAGCAAACCCTTCTAACCTTCTTTTCATTTACTTATTTTAACATTTCATTTTCATTTACTTATGTTAAAGTAAAAATAAATTTTAAATTCCCATTCACCATTCGTTTGTCAGCCTGTTGTGAAATATAATTATTTAATGTGAGGCAAGGATCAGGTTGGCAGGGAATCTTTAAAACCACAAGCATGGAATGCCCTCCACCCACCCACCAGTCAAAACCAGGGTAAGCAATAATGCAGATATATGTGGGTGAAGGAAATAACATAATGTATGGACAGTAATGAAAATATGTATGTGGGGGTTGTCACAAAGGCACTCAACTCCTACATGCATACATGCTGGTAGATGATTCTTAGGGGTACAAGGCATTTGAAGGGCTCTCTGCCAGGTTAAAGGTTGCAGATTCTCCAAGTATTCTTCTGTCTTTCCCTCCTTTGTATTTATCTTCCTGTCCAGGCAACTTTCCAGAGGACAGAAGCTAGTAGAGGGCAAGGCCAGAAGCAAAAGTGGATGGAACAGCAAATGCTAATTTACCCACACATCCTTCGCCAAGGCAAGCAAGAAGCTTTAACAGAGTTAAAGGATACATTCAAGACAAGCAAGAACTTAAGGAGGCTGCAAAGCAGGGCAGGGGTGAGGTGTGACCTGGGGACAGCCCAGGTGGAGAAGCCTATTGGCAAAACCTATTGGTGTTTCGCAACTTTCCGACTAGTTGCAGGACCTTAGCCAGACCTAGCAGAGTAAACGCAGAATCCACGGAAGCAATTGGCGACTTGGCTGCAGACAGGATAGATGAAGCAGGAATCAGAAACTTGTAGTTAGGTGTTTATTATATACAGTGGGTTATTTACAGGAACAGAACACGGATCTTTTGCTAGCTCTCTCTGACACGACTCACAACTCCTACACTGACACACAGAACTCTGAACTCCAAACTCTGAACACTGAACTAACACATTCCAGTTAGCAGGCCATTAATTATCACTCCCTTGAAAGAGCTTGACCAAGCATGGAGCTGTATCCATGCCTCTGTTAGCACCATTTGGTTGCTGGGGGACTGAGGTTCCCTATCCCTGATCTAGCACATCCTAACAAAGCATTATAGGAGGAAAAGGTATACACTCAGAAGGGTATGTAGATCTGTGCAATATTATTTTTAGAGGCATGATTTTGGGGTTGGCAAAAAGCATGCCTGTTTTGTAAATTATACTGTTTTCTGAAAAACCAGCCAAAGTTCACAGGAGATTGTTTGTCATATGTTTCTTCAATAAAACTCCACTGTAAACACATTTGTGCTTGCTTTGTGTGTAGGAGGGAAAGGGGGAATCTGTGTGTCATATTCAACTACCATATTTTAAGAAATTGTTGCCGGTAAACAAACACTGAATTCATTACCGCTGGCATATTGTTGAGGTAGCCGATTTTTTTTCAGACACATGGCTATATAGTGTAGCTGTTTATATAGCGTTAAATCAAATTTTGGCCTAGCCTTGAATGCCTCGCTCGTATTTCTTTATGTCTTCATAGTTTACTCAACTAGTTTCTTGTTGCGTCAACTTTTGCTAGTTTGCCAAAAGTCTGCTGATGCATGCCATTTCCACTCTAAAAATAGTAAGGTAGGGCAAATCATGAAATTAATCAAACAGTAACCATCTGTAACATCAACAGTAATTTATACTGAACAATACTGAGGATTGTTTTAAATGATTTCATGCTATTAACTTAGGAGTTATATAGAGGTGTTCTTTATAAATCTTAAACTAATATTTTAAGGTAGTCCAAGCCTAGGAGCCAAAGGGTTGCCTAGATAAGCTCAATAACTTAGATATGCATACAGGGGTCTTTTTTGGGGAGGGGGACCCGGGGGCGTGAGGAGGACATAACTGAACAGTAGATTCCTATGCCTCATCACAAACGGCTTTTGAAAATGTTTTCAGTTTTGAAAGTGGTTTGTTATGCTGCATGGGGTGATTGTGCTCAAGAAAGGTAAGTTAATAACCTCCTTGGGCACACAGAATTACTTGTGCAATTCGCTAGATCTCAGCCACTATGTTGCTGGTGGTTTTAAATATTACAGAACATTTCGGAAGGACCAAATTGAAAATAAGAAAATGCCTTTGTGAAGAAAATAGAAATGGATATACAGTGGAACCTCGGAATACATCTAGCTGAGCTTTTCATAC